AAATAACCATTGCATAAAGTACACTAAAGCACTAGTAACACTATGCACATGCACTTAAATAACCGTTGCATAAAGTACACTCAAACATCAGTATCAATTTGTCAAAATATTTAAATAATAATTGCATAAAATACACTAAAGCACCAGTAACAGTATGTCAAAACACTTAAATAACCGTTGCATAAAGTGCACTAATACCCAGTAACGATTTGTAAAAACACTTAAATAATCACTCCACAAAACATATTAAAACAGTAAAAAATTAATAAAACATTTAAATAACCGCACCATAAAACACACTAATATATCCGTATACACGTGCACAATCAGTTAAGAAAACACACTAGTAAAGTCACTGACACTTGTAAAACAACACCATAAAATTTGTTAATACACCCCCATAATTAATAAAAAATATTTATTAAAGCACACTAAACACTTGTATTAGTACACTAGGTACATTTATATATCCATATATGCATGCAGGAAACACACCGGTAAAGTCACTGACACTTGTTGAATCACACCATAAAATTTATTAATACACCCCCATATTTATTAAAAAATATTTAATAAAGCACACTAAACACTTGTTATAGCACATTAGGTAACACAGGGACAAGCACAATATCGATTAAGTGAACCCTTGACTCGTACCGATAAGTGTTGACAGGTGCGATTCGACCTCCTCGATTTCCAAAATACGACTGAGAGCATTTGACCTCCCGCTACTGTGAGTGTTATTGGTAGTTGACAACAGCCAATTAGACATCATAATGATCTACCGATCTACCAATAGATCGAATTCGACCTCTTCAAGTGTAAGAGTGATTGGCAGTGTACAGTAGCCAATTAGAGATCATGTAATCCACCAATAGCATGCAACCACTCTCATTGGATGTTGTATAATTATTTTAACGTTAATTTTTTTATAATTTCATATTTTTCGACTGTTTATTAACAATCGACCAATAGCGTGCAACCATTCTGATTGGATATTGTATAACTATTCTAATGTTAATTTATTTATAATTTTGTATTTTTTGATTGTTTATTAACAAATTTATTGTTGTAATTATTTAAATTTATTATTTTTTTTTAACTTACTCTTGCAGATATGTTGCAAAATAATTGTTAATTATCGAAGAAACTCGGTATAATATGCGAACTATTTTTAACGCATAATAGTTTTATATTTTATTTGCGCGCGGTTTTTTAAAAAATGACGTCATCAACGAAAACGGAACTTGGCGCCATCTCTCCGGCGAACAGGGTGAACTACACGGTTTTGGAACTGTAGTTTCATTAGTTTGCAACACTGCCACTAGACGGCGCCACGTATATAGTTTTCTGTTAAATTCAATTAAATATAGTTGATTTTATTAGTATAATTGATTATAACATGAATCGAATTACATTGAAGTGTAAGACCAATTAATTTCGAATTGTTTTGACTTTACTAAACTATTATCAATTTTTAACCACCTTTAGATAATTCTAATTAGCTTAAGGGCAAAGAGTAGATAAAATTTATAAAAATACTTTAAAAGACAATATTAGTAATATACGGAAAATTTATTATAAATATGTTCCAAATTATTAGAGATTGACATGAAAGAAGATTTGCTCGATTTGAATTTTCCGCTCATTTGCACAACTGATTTAAAGGGACAGCGTTTTCGAGAGAACAAAGGCGCCGACAGAGAGTGTCGCCTCTGGTATACTCTGTGGTAGCGTCCCATAACCGAAGTTTCTAAGTAGTTTCAACATAATGGTAGCGGTAATCATATATGAACTACATACTAGCATGTATGTTGAGTCTAATAAAATATAAATATAAAATGTTAATTATTTTCGTAATAAAATATAATTTATATAATTGCAGAATTTTATTGTGATTATACGCATGCGTAATCAGATAAGTACACAATACATGTATCACAGTGTTCTTTTTCATTTTTCCAGCGCACCCTATTCTTTATTACCTATGTTTTCCTATAGTACTCCATGGGTAAAGTAGTACGAAACACTCAATTATTTTCTGATTCACGCGATGCATTTGCGTCATCGTGTCTAACCTTACAAAGCAATCCGCTGTAGTGGATATAAAGGAAAATAAAACAAACTTTTGACAAGTGCCACTACGACGGAAAATATGGCAAAATGTTTTGGCTGTGGATATCTTCTAACATTTCTTATTGTAAATTTAGGTAAGATCATATAAAACTTCAAAAGTTTACTAAAATATAGTTTTAAAAGAATACAGATAAAGTTAAACAAAGTTTTATTTTGTAGATATCTTTCGTGTTTTTTGAATAATGTAAAATTGTAAAATTTCAATTTTAAAGTATATGTAAATGAATAACAAAAAATAACTTATATTCAATTTTTTATCTCATATATTTATTTATAATCAGTTTTGATATTCATACAAGTGAAAAGCAATGTATAAAATGGAGGAAAACATAATTGTTTTTAGTTGCTGCAGAACGAATAAAGGATATGATTTATATGACATTTGATGGAGTTGCCGCTTGTTTTCGTAGACATAATGGAACACATCAGTTTGGATGTTCTTGTAAGATTATATAATTATGTTAATTATATTATTACAGTGTATATCATTAATTTAAAAATTATATGTTTATTATAATTTTGTTTGTGTTCAAAATAAATTTAATGGTATTTATACTTAGAACATAATGTATATTGGTTATTTAATGTAATTATAATTCAGTTATAGATATATTGTATGGTTTCATCTCAGTTGTTTTCTTTTATTACAGCTAGTAGATCAGGAAGTGTCGGTGTTATTCATTTGATTGAAGAAGAAAGTGATGTTAGATGGATTGAACATAATGCTACTGCTGGTCCTTATACTGTAGTAATTCCATTTTCCATGTTTACAAAAGATATATTGTTTAGATTAAAAAATACAAACAACATAAATGGTGTTCTGCTTGCGAAAAACACTAGTCAAGCAAGTCCAAATTATTATTCTCCTGAAGATACTTGCCCAAACAGGTATTCAGGTTACAAAAGATGCAATGATGCTCTCCCTTGGAATCCTGATGGATCTGCTTTACTTATGCAGGATTGGCAATTTCCAATGTTTTACACAGAGGTCAGTTTAAAATTTTTACATTGATAGATTACATTTATAATATATAACTTTAGAATTACTAACTTCTAATTTTAGAATCAGACATTAATAGAAGCTATAAAATCTTGTTTCTGGACACATAACACACATGACATAGAAAATCAGCAATATAGATCTTTATGTGCATTAGAAATGAGGTCATTTATGTTTGCTGCAGTTAACTCTGAATCTTGTATCAGACGTAGTGAATTCAAACTAAATTATATACCAACACAGTTTTGTGATCCTTTGGGAGACAGGAATATACATTGGCCTTTAGCTCCAATTGATAAAGACAAAAATTCAGTGATATTGGTAACTGCCAGATTAGATGCTTCTTCCTTATTTGATGGAATATCACCTGGAGCAGAGAATGTTGTAACAGGATTAGTAACATTACTAGCCACTGCTTATTATTTGAATATAACAGCTCCAAATATTGTAGCAACTCGTAAGTAAAATTGTATATTTCAAACAACATACAATAGATAGCATGTTAGATAATATTTCTATTTGTTCTTTTTCAGAAACAAATGTTGTTTTTTCTCTATTAAATGGAGAAGCCTTTGATTATATAGGATCCAGTAGATTAATTTATGATTTGAAAGAAGGTAATTTCAATGCATTAGGTGGAGTAAATTTAAAACTTGATGACATTAAGACTGTAATCGAATTTGGTCAGCTGAATAAGGGGAAATTGTATCTTCACTCTAGTAATGGCAAGAACAACGATATAATAAATAAAATGAAGAAAACATTGAATGCAGCTGTTTTGGAAGGCAGTGTTCCACCTACATCAGTACAAAGTTTCTTAGCAGAAAGACCAAATTTAACTGCCGTTGTTATTAGTAATCATGGTAAACAGTTTGAAAATAGATTTTACAATGGAATCCTAGACAATGCAGAAAACCTTCATTTTAACAAGTACTACTACTTTCATTTTATAAGTTATACATAAAATTATCCATATTTCTTTTACATGTAATGTTGTTTTCAGAAGCGAGGATAATGAGCTTTCCACTGCTTTGGCAAAAATAGCAATTCACATTGGCGATATTCTTCGTGAAAATGTTATTGGTAATCAAGCCCCAGTTGCGGATGGGGCTGCGGATATTTTTGAATCAATTGAGAATCTTATTTCTGATATGTTATCTTGTTACTTGGAAAGTGCCAAGTGCCATTTGTTTCGCGCTGCTTCATCACCAGGCGCCAAATTAATTAATCAAGTCTTACCATTGTACGTTGGTGTACATAGGGTAGCTAATCCTGCCACTACTTTAACCGGTCAGCTTCTTGCCTATCTGACCAGAAAAGAAATACCGCACATGAATGAAACGTCATGTTATGAAAACCATTATCTTTGGATGGCTGGCGATAATTTAACAGGCATATGTATTAGTTCCACCGTAAATTATAGCGCAGCTATGAGCCCAGCATTTATTATTGATGGTAAGTTCATATATATTAGCATCAAAGATAAATATTTCAATAAGTGGAATTACTACTTTCTATATTCTAATGCAGGATATGACATGAAATCGGGTGTTTATTCTACATGGACGGAATCTACGTGGCAAACATTAAGCGTAAGAATGTTTCTTAAACCTTCAGCAGCTACAGAGCGATTGACAATGATTTTAGGCAGTGCAGTGGCTGTTGTATCGTTCCTTATTGTATGGTTCATTAATTCCCGAGCTGATATATTGTTTAATTCACGGTAAATTCATCATTCCGAAATAAAAAGATGAACTTTGATTATAGAGTGTTTGAAACATTAAAATTGAAACTATTCTAGAAGAACAACCAGTTGCTAGGGATACGCTGCGGACCACATATCAATGACCAGGTTGGATCATCGAGAATACGAAGATGTTCCGGTAACTAGCCTTTGAAAGTATGTGTGGTACGCCCTCGGACAATTTTTGTATATCTCAAAGTTAAAATATATTCCGACGCCATCGAATTTTTACTACAGTGTCAGTGCAAAATTGTGACAACAATTTAATCAAACTTTTGCACCTTGGTAACATTCGTTAGACATGACCAGGTGCCTTCCCGCTGTCGGTCACTCCATGTGTGTGATGTATGTATGTACATATACATATAGGCTGAACTTATGTTCAGCGAGTTACCACTTGGTCATGTCTAGTATACGTAATGAGAACGATTGTATAAAATATTCAAGAAGTAAATAAGGTTGTATGCTTGGAAGCTATGATTATTACTTTTTGAGCATTCTGTACGTTCGTTTCATTTATCACGGTACGTCCCCTTTTCTAATATAATTATCTATATTCAAATATATACATTTTTATAAATGTTATGTGTATTCAGCAAATAGGTAGAATTTTTTGTTAAATTCTACGAAAAGTTGATACTTACAAAGTATTACGCCTGTATCGCGATTATAAGCAGGGTATGCTAATTTCAAGAAGTGTGTATTGAGTTCTTGATTTTGTTAAAATCCATTTGTATGGAATAATAAGCGTGCACATTTTATTTATACGCGTAATGTAAATTACATATACCGTTTACAGACGGTATCATTAGTATACATGTAGTACTTTCAACAACTATTTAATTCCACGTCGTCCATTTTTGCATGTACATTGATATTATAAATGTCATGCATATGTTTCATTCATATTTAAGTATAATCGTTATTAATTTACATTATACCTATTAAAATCTAATAATGAATTATTTTAGAAATCACTTTTGTATTTCTTCGTTTATTTATTATAATTATCTCGTATCGTAAATGAAGCGCAGGATATTTAATTTGTTTAGATACTTTTTCAGAATATCCAGAATAGTTAGATAAATAATTTTATGATACTCTTAAATGAGATAATCATATGATATAAGTGAGCTAAACAAAAAAGTAAATTTAAAATAACAATTTATTTAATACTATATTTTCATTATTTCATATGCGTGCAAATTTATTTCGTACTCTTATTTCTCTATTATTTGATAATAGATTTTCAGCAATTTCTAAAACAAATTTTATGTAATGTAGAGTGTACAGAAGTTAATGCAGAAACCATTGTAAATAACTTCTGTCTGAAAAGATACATACAAGCGTATATCAATTTGAGCATATTTTGTAAAAAAGAATGTGTAAATATATTCTGAAAAAAAGAAACGACAAATACTGTTCAATAAATTGTTTGATTTCTGATTACGATCTAGAATTATCTGTGTTTAATCATTTGTAGTTAAAATTTATTATTAACTACATTATTATATAGAAGTTATTTATATAGCTATGCAATTATAGTATTGCGTAAAATTTAAAACACTGTTATAAGAATTAAATTTTTTGTCTAATTATATTCTGCGAATCATCTAACAGATTGATTAGCGCCATCTATTAGAATAAGTTATGATCTGCTTTCTTGGGCGAAATATCTATACCTAGTCTGTGGATTTACGTAAATAGCCAAATCTATCGGTAAAACAGTACAGGATCGGCTCAAATTACCTCTTCTCGTTCGTGCCTCGTTCTTCGAGTCACGTCATACAAAAGTTCTAAAGGAAAATTCCGCATAAAATGGCACTCACTTTCGGTATGTGTGAAACTCCGGGCTGTAAAACTATGGCCAGCCTTCAGTGTCCAACTTGTTTGAAAATAGGGATACAGGGCTCATATTTTTGCACTCAGGTACATACCACCCTATACACTTGTAGGTTAGCTCATACTAAAACTGGTTATTTAAATTTACACTGTGTATCAGTAATTAGTAACAATTAAAATTTTTATTCTCAATTAAATTATCCAATTTATTTCTTAAATAATTGAAATGTATGGTTGTCAGTAGTTGCTGTTGTTGCATCAATAAATGTTGTGTATGAATTAATATTTATTGAAAGCAATCTTTTTTATGAAGTAATTAACATTGTTATGTTTAACTTTAGGATTGTTTTAAACGAAGCTGGAAAACTCATAAAGTTATTCATCAATTAGCAAGTGAGTTTAATTATTAAGCATTGCATAAAATGTAATGGTAAACAGTAATTCTGTAGTAATGAATCATAAAAATATGTATAAAAGTTGGCTTATTAGATAATTTTTAATAATTCTGTTGTTATTAGAAGGGACAGGTGGAGATAAAACTTCCAACGAATATAATCCATGGCCATTCTACAACTATACTGGTAAATTACGTCCTTACAAAAGGGAACCTCGCAGAGAGGTACCTGAACAGATCAAACGGCCAGATTATGCTACACACCCTTCAGGGGTATCTGTAAGTGAGCAGGCTGTAAGAGGTTCTGCTCAAATAAAAGTCCTTGATGATGAAGAAATTGAGGGCATGCGAGTAGCTTGTAAGGTATAAAGGCATAATATTAATTTAAAGTTCTTTAAATGATATATCCTTTTACTTCTCTGCATGTGCTAATGTTCTGTACATAATTTTTCTTATTACTTCTTTGCATGTATCACTATCACATATGTTACCCTTGAGTACATGTTTATTTTCTTTTAACAAAGAAGGGAAACATAAATCAGAATTACTCCCATAGCTTGGACGGGAAGTGTTAGACGAAGCTGCACGTACCTGCGACGTAGGGGTCACAACAGCTGAGATTGATAAAGCAGTTCATGAGGCTTGTATAGAGAGAGACTGTTATCCGTCTCCATTGAACTATTATCAGTTTCCAGCCAGCTGCTGTACTTCTGTAAATGAAGTGATTTGTCATGGAATCCCTGATACTAGACCACTTCAAGATGGAGATATTTGCAATGGTATCATATATTGTTTCTTAATAATTCTGCCATTTATACAATAACTTTATAAATTATATCTGTTTTTACAGTCGATGTAACGGTATATCATAATGGCTTTCACGGTGACTTAAATGAAACATTTCTAGTCGGTAATGTAAAACCCGAAGTAAGAAAATTAGTCGAAGTTACATACGAGTGCTTATCGAAAGCTATAGATATTGTACGACCTGGAGAGAAGTATAGAGAAATCGGAAGTGTAATTCAGAAACACGCGCAAGCACATGGATTCAGTGTAGTACGCAGTTATTGCGGTCACGGAATTCATCGTTTATTTCACACTGCGCCCAGTGTTCCTCATTACGCCAGTAAATGTCTTATCTATATTTAGTATATCGATATAGAATAGTCTAATAAAATTCTTTTTTCGCTGTTTTTTAGAAAATAAGGCTGTTGGTGTTATGAAACCAGGGCATTGCTTTACTATAGAACCAATGATATCACAAGGTACGTGGAGAGATGAAATGTGGCCAGATACTTGGACGGCGGTTACTGCGGATGGTCAGTGGTCTGCACAATTCGAGCATACGTTGTTGGTTACCGAAACTGGTTGTGATATTCTTACAAAACGGTTAACAAACGATGGTAAACCGTGGTTCATGGATAGATCATAGTAGTATTTCTCTGGGTATTATTGTCAGATTCACGATATCATTTCAAATTTTGTGGATATGTAAGCATTATACTGCTTAATACCTCCATTTACTTTCGTGCGAGATTTGTTTTTTCAAGATTGAACTTTCCTTCTTTGGCGAGTACTATAATAATACCTATAACTCCAATTCTCTTCTGTAAGATACTTTTTACTATACAGCTACTATAACAACTAATTTTGTAAAAGATAAAACAAAGAAAGAATGAACAAGGTGAAAATGATCTTTGAAAAATATAATCTTGTTAGATTTTTGTTTGTACCCGGCTCCTGTATCATATAGATAGATTACTTGGATAATACATATGTACATACATATATATAAATGTAATTCAAATTGGTGATGCGTACTGATTGAAATAAAAAATGAATTCTATGAATTGATGGCAATATCAGTTCGTGTCTTTCGTTTTTTCGCGACTAAGGGCGAGCGTACTAACAAGCTTACCTAACAATAAATAATATTAAATAAATTACGATGTCCCATAATGATACTGTTATCGATGTACCATCGACAAAACGTTAAAAGGAAAGGAGTATCCAGTAAAATCAAGAACTACCTTGAGAAAGATCTATGAAAGTTGAAAATTTGGGAACTTGGAAATTTAGAAAATTGAGGTTTTAGGGATTTGAAGATTAATAAATTTGAATATACGTTTCGTCGATGCATCATACGGAAACAGTATAAAAATTTCCCATGTCGAAGAAACTCGTTCCAACATCGAGTAAGTTACAAAAACTCTTGAACAAAGCTAATAAATAAAATGATAATAAATATTCGCGTTCAACGTTATATGTACAAAAAATTCTTTAACCAAGTATTAAACGGCAGTCTTTGGATTCAAACGCGATCCAAATTCCGCGTTTGATTGTTCGTATGACCTCCCATCGAAAGAAGCATTAGCTTGGGAACTTAAAGTATCGGCATCATCATTTTCATACTCGTACTCAATTTCCGTGTTTTCCTTCTGTTCATCGTTCCGAGATTGATTATTATAATCATTCTCGTCTGGTACCATGATTCTCAGAGGTCGTTTGTTATTGTATACCGTGCTCTGACGTTGTCGATGCTGTTCTTGTTGTCTCTCGTATTCCTTTTGTTGTTCCTCGTACTTCTGCAACTGTTGTTCCTGCTCCTGTTGACTGTGTCGATGTTTGTGACGATTCTGCGATCGATCTTGATGATACGTTTGATCGTAATCTTCGTTCTTGTGATTAGGAGGCATAGCCTCTTCGCTCTGCACGCTTTGCTGTTGTTGTTGTTGCTTCCGAAGTTGTCCTATCAGTTGACTATTAACGTTCCCAGCTGCTGCCAGGGCTGCTAACTTCTCGGCCGCCTCGCGATTAGGTAGCGTCGTATAGAACTGCGAGGATATGCCGTCGTTATTGGAAACCTTGTTGAAGTACGTTGTCTGGCTCTTCTGATTGTTGGTATCTTCGTAATCGATGTTGTTTTCCAATTGTTCACCACCTTCGTTAATATAAGCGAGCTCCTCCTCTCGACGTAGATTATTATTCTCCTCCTCGTCTATGGATACCTCAGGTTCGATGTTGTAATTCGTATTGACTCTTTCAGCGACGTATTCTGGGTCGAATAAAATTTGCTGTTGCTGCTGTTGTTGCTGCTGCTGCTGCTGTTGTTGTTGTTGCTGCTGCTGTTCCTTGTTATCCTGCTCGTCGTAATTGAAAGATTGCATTTCTGGCTGCGAAAAACCTGTTACTCCGGCGGGCTGGAAAAATTGACCGAGCTGCTGCTGCAGAATGTGTTGCTGAAGCTGTGGTTGTTGACCTAGAATCAAAGCGATATGGCTTATCACGTAGCTTGAACTCGTTCGTAATTTTATTAAATTGATGTTCCAGATAGGTAAGAGAATGCTTTGTCTCATTACATGTTCTTATCTCACGTTCTGGTAGCTGTACTTTCTCTCGGTGCAATCTAATATGAAATGCGTGATGAATCGAAATAAGGCTGAGTGATTTACCGGTATACATTTGGGAGATGCGATCATGCAGAAGAAAGTCAGAAGTAGGTTGCAGGTATAAACAGAATTTTTGCGTGGAGTTGCTTTTCCGGGGACAATGCGAAGAAGCAAAATTTCTAAATTCTCGCAATAAGACTAACCTTGTTGATATTGCTCAGGCATTTTCTGAGGGAAACTGTTCAAAAGATCGTAGAGTTGAGTAGCCGAAAGGGGAGGACCAGCAGGTGCCGGATGACCAACATGTAGATCAGGTATCTGTTGGTTTATAATGTACGGTGTTTGGCCAGCGGTACCCGGGAATCCGACGTGCAAAGAACTGTGCAAATTTGTCTGCATCGGTAGATTAGGTTGTCCAAGTTGGATGTTGGTGCCGATAAGTCCGATGTTCGAAGCTGGATGATTATTCAAGAAGACGTCATTCGATTGCAGATCGGGATTAATCAAGGTAGACAGCGTCGCAAATTCTGGTGGTATGAACGTTGGCAGAACCGTTTGGTATTCTTTTTGACTGACACTATTCGTTTCGGTTACTTCGTATTGGTGTTGACTGGGGGTTGGATTGGTCACCGTTTTCTGCGGTGATAAACTTGTACCGATGGTGTTGAGATCGAAGTTTGGTAGTAATGAACCTATAAAAAGAAATCAGTTAATGTTATTTTAACCGATTAGACATTATTCTACATTTTTACTTATTACAGTGCTGTATTATATTACTGTAATACTATTCTAATAGTAATAATTCCATACTGTTATATGTAAGTAGTCTTATACACTTGTGCAGTACTATCTTAAAAACTCAACTGACCATGATGATTAATTTTGTACGTAGCATCAGTGGTCTGCTGCCGTTGCGCCATGTCATCCGCATTCATTTCGCCATTGAAAGGTTTATCCATGGGGCTGAGATTAGGTGCCGGAATGGTATGAATCGGTCCTTTGTCATCGTCAACGCTGCCCCTGTGAGTCGGTGGTAAAACAGCCGCTTCCGGTCTGTACTCTGGACTGTACTCCGGCATTTTATTCACCGAATGAAACTCCTTCACCGGTGGACGTTGCGGGAGGACCGCATGATTGTTCATAGGAGCTCTCATTGGCATTTGATGCTTCCAAATCACCGGAGGCATATTGAACATTGGCGGTCGACGAATTCTATATTTTATGAATATTTGTAATAAAATATAATTATAAATTCAGCAGATCATTGCAAATTTTGAGATCAGCAACTTTCGAGAAACTTCACCTGTAGTTTGATACTTTTTGGACCATTCGTTTCGGTGTCAAGTTTCCATTGATATGCATCATGTTGCCTGTAGAAATTCTGTGAGTGATCGGCCAGGATTTCTTGAACATCAATTTCGTTGGTTGGAGAGGAGGTAACGGTGGTCTTCTTATCTTGTATCTGGCTTCGACAAGGCAGATGCACGCGACTAACAGACAGCATATCCAATTTGTCGTCTGAAATTTGATTAACAGAGCGTGTTCGGTCTACTATCTCCCAGGAAAAATAGAAAGATCTAAATTGAGTCACTGTGAATTTTAAGTGCACAGGATGCTTTAACCTGACTAGTTAGGGCTGAATTTAAAGTTTGCGAGGTCTTGTGCTATCATTCAAAACTCTTTGAAGAAATTACTACTGATATGGACATATGCAAATGTGGAGACGCGAAGATTTGAGAATTTGAAAATTTGGAAATACTTAATCTGCAAAATCGAAAGCTTACATTTACACATAGGCATATAAATTTTATTTATTAACAATATGTAAGAAGTAAATAACAATCGGGAAAGCGGACACACCAAAACCGGAAATCTAGTCTTGCTACGAACTGTACGGTATTCACATATCAACACGTGCACTTTGTTTCGTTCTTTACACCTGTGATGTATATGTGTAAAATCGATGCTACAAACCGTGATCAGAGATTCTCAATCTTTTCTGAGGAATGAGAATGTACAATTTTTCATACGTGTCACTAATGTTCGAATTATTATTTGCAAATATATAAGAACGTTTTTAGAGAAAGTTATGAAACTCAAATCTTAGTTAATGATAAATGTTGCAAATATATTTGAACAATTCTCAAATGTATATACAATAGAATATAGTACAATAGCGCACGGTACAAATAATTCGAAGAAAGAGTTCCAACAAAGAATTCTCCTTAAACACAGTATTGAAACTGAAAATAATGAAACCTCGTCGACTGCATACAAATGGACTTCACGTTTTCGTATTCTATCACAGTATCATGCCGAAAAGTGATGGGAACAATAACCCGGGATCGAAGTAAACAGTTAACTTTCATTTTTTCAAAGAATTCTTTCTTTTGTTTATGAAAGCATTCGTGCTGAATTTTTATGGAAAGCAGATTTCAAAAAGTATTCTCATTGAATTTAAAAATTTGTTAATCAGAGTTCTGTGAAGACCCAGTAATATTCATAAAACATGAGCCCTCGGATTATTGCGTTGCAGTTTGAGAAACGCTGGCATAGCCGATGAAACCGAAGAGAGAAGCGTTTCGAGTTGTTAACGGACAAAGTGGGACGTTGTTCCACATCGATGTAGGAAAAGCGAGGGTAGTAAGAAGCCAGAAAGGAGCGAGGTCGAAAAGAAAATAGTCGAGCGTGGAAATGATGGCCAGTCTCGTACGGATTAGAAATGATTGACCGTGAATGCAACCTGTTGCATTGCATGCCGATCATTAAGCTTCCTCCTCGCTCGACTTCCATTTTCAATCGCCAATTTCGTGATTCGAAAGGCATGCCGTTAACGAGACACAAGAATCTTTCGAAAGTTGAACGTTCAACTTCGTCCTCAACTTCTTTTTGATCGACTGTTTGGTTAATTGGGTTATTGAAGTGTATGAAAAACCCATGTTTGCGATGACTAGATCGAAGTCTTAGATTGTTTATTTCTGGAGTGTCGATTTTTGATGGTATTCTTTCGATGATTAAATTTATATAATTATCTGTTAGATTACCAGGTTGTAAAATTAAAAAAATTCTGAAGCACCAAATGTGAAAATTATTAAACTTCTAAATTAAAATTATTAAAATTTGTTTGTATCAATACAATGGTAATACGAATAATAATACAAATACAGTGGTTAACACTTGATCATATAACACGACATTTAGTCACAAAACGTCAGTATTCGATTAAAGAACAAATCACGTTCTGATATTTCACCTCTGCAGTCAATGACATTCACTAACATCTAAATGTAAAAGTCCACGTAAAGATAGCGATATAACGAGAGTCTACGGTCATTAGTCAATATACTCCGTTTAATACGTCTAATTAAATGGGAAGATACAATGTACTCTTTATTGCACATAATTTTTACAACATAAAATAACTTTACGTCTAATCTCTAGAAAGTCAAGGTTGAAAGTACGTATGCTAATTCTACTGTACTATAATCATGCGTAAAGTGTTCGGTTCCTCAGAAAACATTTTTTTGAACAAAATGGGCGTTCGGATGCACGAAGAAATAGCTACGTCCTGTTAATGATAATAATCAAGCATCGACCGACTATTCTTTTTTTGTCATATAACGGAACTGACTTCCACACTGAGTAGACGGATCCATTAGCTTGATTTTTCGATCGTGACTACACTGCTGTATACTTATCTGCGACGAATCGTGTTATTGTCGCTGTTTTTATTGCAATCTCGAGCAACTGTAACGGGTCATTGTTGCGAAGCGTCAATTAATTTATGATTAATGGGGAACGATTGTTCGTCGATTCGTTAATGACAGCAAACTATAAACGTGAGGGTATTGTAAAATAAATGCACCGTAAAGCAAATGTATTGTAAAAATAAGAAGATGGATAAATGTGAATATATGAACATTTATTATGGATGTTCTGCAATGTTGCATTTTGTAGATTCATGTAATTTTGCATTTGTACTGCTTATCGAAATGTGCATTTGTGTAAATATAAAATCATGATACGTCGTGGGATTAACATAGATAAGTTTTATCAAATTATCCTAAATGCGATAGTTTTAAATAACTTATAAAATATTACGAAGGTATGAACTTTAATGATAAATTCTATAAATATTTCGGTTGATATAGTCGTGATGATGGTCACGACTGACCGACTTTACAAATTTAATTCGGTCAAATAATATGGAATTGAAAGCAGTACAGTTTTGAATGCTATGAATGTTACAAATTTAATCTTGTATATTCTTAATAATATGTAGCATATTTCTGCTGTAGCGAAACGTGTTCATATTTCTTAAATAAAACTTTTTCAGATGTATTTTCATAAAAATACAAATCTATGAATTTTACTCAAATTTTGAATGTCAGTTCAAAAAACATGAACCATGAACTTCGATAAAATTTACTTTACCCTTTTATCTAATGAATTCTTGAGTAAAATAAAAATTCAATAACGTTTGTTTTGTACAAAGTCTACTTCAGGTGTCACATTAATTTATAAACCTCAATTTTATTAATACCTTACAACAGGTCATTCATAAAAAATGTCAGCATTAAAACGTTCAGTACGAACATAAAGTAATTGCACTTACTTGACTATACACAAAAAATTCTCTTTATAATTTATTTCACAAAAAAACTTCGACTATCAAAAAAGTATGATTATAAATATTCTATAGTAACACCAAATTAAATCAAACATGGCAATTAAATAAATCACCTGTAAACGATAACTCGATTCGAAGCCATGAACTTGAAACTGTTACTAACCTTCATCGCGTTTGTTCTCGAAATAACGGGTCTCCTCGACGAACGAATATTTTTCCCCGGCTGTGCGTGTACACTGACAGAAAAGAAACCAATGCGACGAATTAGAAGATACTAAGATCGAAATATACCGGAAGTTGGATCAAATATAAAACGAACACGAGTAAACGCGCGCGATGATTGGACGTTGAGGAAGCACTGCGTGTTCTGCACACAATTAGGTCATTGTCCTTCATTTATACTCGCAACCCGGCGAACGTATCATCGAAGGCCGAAACGTTGCCTCCTACCTTGTTTCCGATGGATAACAGCTGCTACGAAATAAGGAACGTAACCGGGAAAAGTCATGGGTTCCATGAAATTCACAGGAATTCCCAATTGTCACGTTCGCCAAACGGATTCGCTGCGTTCTTGCGTACGATTTTTCTTCTTTCGAGAATGCTCCAAGATTACAGCTAATATCTAACTCGTTAGTAATAATTATATACATGTTTATTTTATACTTATTTGTAACACACATTTGTATTTTTATACGTTATGTTTATATTCATATGAAACATGGATTTACAACAGTGGATGAAGGAAAATTTAAAAGGTGAAGCACATGAGATCGTCATTAAACTGTACTTTTCAAGAAATAATTTGTTATAAATCTATGTGCTGAAGTAAAAGAAACAAGAGAGGTAAGCATGGAAAAGGGAAGTATTTATTTAAAAGTCCACAAGTAAAATTAGTTCATGTACCTTCTTCCGTTATCTAACAGACTGTAGTCTCTTTGAACAGAGGTTTCTATTTAATTAGACTGGTGAAGATGCAAACACCTCGTGTTGTGATTTTCCTTAAAGGCGTTACGAGAAAAGAATCTGATGACAGAAAAGTTGATTTCGGATTGTATCACGGTATCTTTACGAGCCGACAGATGGACACGGAACGATCGAAGACCGGTCAAACGCCGTTTCTCTCCATATCCTGCTACTGGATTCCCTCGTGAGAATTACACGTGTGTGAGTGGATACACGAACCAACGTGTGTGATCCAGTGACCCACTATATTCATCGGTGCTACGCGAGTTTATCATTAAAATTATGCGTTCCTCCATTCAATCTTTTGCGACCGAATGGAATACTTCGTAACTGCCTTCTCTGCTTTACTCAATTAAGTTCAATTGCTCGAAACGCGATTCGATCTTTCAAATTTCACAGTCTATAAAAATGAACCTCGTTTTTTTGTTACTTTTATGTCCGAGATCTTTTAAGAAGACTTTCTATTTCCGATTTCATGTTCGAGCACGACAGGTTTCTTGAGAGAAAACGGCGATAAAGGAAGAGGAGAACTTGCGATTTTACAAGTGCAGAATCTATTCATGCTACGAAACGAAAAAGATATTCCAGAAATTCTATCCTGTATTTCGTTATCACATAATTATGATTTCAATGATTTTGTTCTCCAATAAAAACTTTCAGGTAATATTATCGAAGAAATAGGCTCCTGTAACAATAAACAAAACAATTTATTCGAACTTACGATTAGAGTAACGAACATCGAATTAGTAATCTTTCCGCTTGCAAAACGATTCATTTACATGTTACAATAGCTTAAGAATAACGTCATAAACTCTAGGGATCTATAATTACAAATTGAAGCTAGCTTTAGTGTAGGTAAAGGAAAATAAAATCGTTCGTGTTGTTATGGCCTTTTTCATTACATTAAGGGTCTAATGTTCATAAATACAAAGTCCATTTGCATTTACAGATTATGCATTATATACACTGTTCACGTATGTATTCTCTGACCGATTAATCCTTTAAACCCCAACGTCATTTACGTTCATATATTAAATTCAATAGTACTATAATTTTTACAATTACTGATTTAATTGTTAATAAGCCTATAAATAATGTATATACGTACAAGAATATTTTGGTTCCTATTATGAAAATCGTTAGGAAAGGATTAACGATCAGATAGTCGCCATCTTGTGACAATAACCGAGGAGAGCCGAACGTCACCGATAAAACGATACGGAAGTAATATACAAGATTTTCCATTCGGCATATATCACAAGATACAACTCTAACAAGTATTTTCTATGCTAACATAATTTGCTTGTCGACTCGTAACTGCTCAACGTCCATCGGTCCTTAATTTGCATATCGGACCGCTTTCTTTTCCAGAATAATTTCAAGAAGATTCATCCACTCCCACCACATACGCGTTGCTTTATGTTCTTTCTTTTCCCGATGAGGCGAAAGCCGAGACACGACTCGAACACACGCACAGGTAGGTAAATGTTCTTCAGCTTTCGATTCGTTGATCTTCGCGAAACCCGACGAATCTTTTCAACGAATAACATCTGATACAGTGCAGCCATTGCAGTCTTGGATTTTCGTTCGTGCCGCTCGATGTCATGGATGTATTCGAGATCCACTTACATGTGGATAGGGCTCGTAAGAGTAGATCACTGTAACAGACCATGTTAACTCGAGATAAATTTTAAGAGGAAAATTTTATATGCATTAGATGAGTAATTTAGTTACAGAAAGCGGGGTCTGAAGCATACGAACTAGAAGCTGTGCTCGTTTGAAAATTGTGGAATATAGTTTAATTCGAAAGAAAGTTTGTGTTGATTAAGTATGTACAAACTTTGGGAAACATAGTGGAACCATTTTCAAGTTTGTATCATTTCTCAAATTTCAAGTTCCTTCAAGTTATCGCATCCTCCAATTTAAACTTCAATTAACTATTAAAATCCCTGAAATACCGATAACATTCATTTAACGATGCGTGGTAATAAAATTGATCCCACAAATATTTCTACATCTAAACTCGTTTCTCACATGCATCATCGATGTATCTATCGCATCAGATAAAGGAAATTTATAACCACGCTATCTGCAGCTTATTATTTCTGCTCTACGAATTATACCATTACACATAAACCTCCACGGAAAACAATAAATATTTACATACAAAAGGGAGCACTAAGAAGGTAATTTAATCCAATTACCTCGGTTCAGAATTACACACTTTACCCACGCTGTAATCTCACACGTTGCGCTACATCGTTGACGGATTTCCTCCTTTGAGCGCTACTTCTTCTCCGGTACCAACGGTACGCGTCAAAATTCCCTAGCGGTCCTTGATTCTGCCAGTAAGGATTCGACGGTTGCAAGAGAGGTATCTTCAAAGGTCCTTGAAGCGGAGGGTAATTCGGAAGCAAGGGTTGAATCCCGTGAGGTAAGTTAGGTAGCTCGTAGCCGTTCGCATGTTTCAGCGTGGATATTTTTATGGAGGGATCCACGTCGATCGACAGACTCGAATACATGGACAAATCGTTGCCGAATGTGTCCGCAGTCGACAAATCGAAGCTTCCCTTGTGGGGTAACGCGTATTGAATGTGTATCGGTGGATACTCGACGCTTTGCTGAATGGAAAGTGGACTGACCGGGAAACCGGAAGTCAAAGGAGGATACAACGGATAAGCTTGATCCTTCACGTCCAATGGACGTTGATGAAGCGGAACCTCGTAACTGGACGGTGGATGCTCAACAGGATGACCAGACTCGATCACCAGATGGTTCTCTTCGTTATGATTTAATTGGTTTTGTTCGTTTCCGCTTTCCAAGTGTTTCACGGGCAATTCTGGCGGCGGACCGTGGTAACTGACTTCCGGTTCCGCCGGAGGAGCTTTCTGAGAGTTCTCGTCCAGGATGTGGTGTCCGTCCAGATCCGTCGGTTTCATGATCAGAAGGCCCGCGTGCTCATCGACTGTAAACGTGACGTCTGTCAGTCGGGTCAGAATATCAACGTCTCGTTTCAGATAATTATTTTAAACCGAATGTTCGTACTGATTAAAATTTATCACTTCGGATACATTTATATCATCAGATTGCATCAACTCTTAATATTTTGAAATGAAATCTTTTCATCGATAAATTATTTGCTATCATTAATTAAATTTAACAATAGATAGTTGATTAAAGCACGTTGTCACTAATTAGTGAATTTACTTAAATATCGTTCGTGAATTTACCGTAATTATTTGTCCAAATTAATTGGATGATCAGAAAGTATTTTGGCTTGTATTCATGAAACGAAACGTTAATGTAATTACTTCAACACTGCGTCCTTGTTATTTATGAAACGAATTCATTAGTAAGAAAGTTTTTTCCAAATCGTTAAGTACGGCTTACATTTTTCGACATTAACATATTGGTAGTCGTTTTGCCGACGTTTTGAACATGTACTTAATTATCAGGTTGTTGCATATTAATTGGCCAGTTTCAGAATTTAGAAAATCTGATACAATGGTACTGAAAAAATTTTATGGAATATAACTTTGAAGCTCAATGTTTGCTCAAAATGGCTTTTAAATATTTCTATTAAATATTTCGAACGTTCGTAAAATGCTCGATTCTTTGTTAAAACAATAGAAATTGGTTGATATAGTGCTTATATCGAAGAGTCAACCATTTTGTATCAACATTTAACTGACAGCCATTTTAAGTTTTAATATAAATTAATAAAAAATGTTTGGTCGTCGAAGTAAACAATCTCTGAACATCTCAAAACTTTAAGTATCAAATTGCTATGTAATTTTTTCGACCTCATCGAATTATGTCAGAATGTCTTTTCGATCATGTAATATACAACAACTTAATAATTGAAGAAAAAGAACCGTTTTATACCGATTACGAGAGATCACGAGATATTTGTAGAAAGTGGGTTACGTAAGTGTTGACCTGTCGCGTGGGTCAGGCATTCAAGCGAAAGTAAATTAGTTTCGAATTTTGAAAATCATGAGAACAAGAAAGAGAGAGAGAGAGTGAAGTCTCACGGAAACGAGTAACCAACAAAGCACGAAGAAAGTGTTATTCATCGTCGAAACGTGGAAATTAACAGAAACAAGAGGAAAGTTCACACGGACGAATATCAAAGTACCGAATAGTATTCGCCAGAAAGTTCTGAGCATCCTGTATCACGTCCGAGGAAAGTTTCGCGGAATAGAATCTCGTTTGAAAGCGAAGTTCGCTCTTACTTTCATCATTTTAAAACGTGCAAGAACCTCCACCAGGATGGTAAGCCTCTCACCGAATTTTTAACTAGCACAACGTTGCAAGCAAACACTCTGTAATCATCTCGCATGCACTTCACGCCAACGTAAGTAATTGCTACAGTGCTCTACTATAATTTCTACTTATCAGATCTACAAGATTAAGTCTACATGCTTACATATGTAAATCATAAAAGAGAAATGTTCATATTCAGTTCCTAGATTTCTATATCCCTGGATCTCCAAATTCCCATATTCATAGATTTCTTGAACTCTAGTTAGAACTCTAGATGCCTATGTTTTTATGTCTCTAGATTTGTCTCTAAATTTTTATGATTCATTTAAATTTGAAAAACTTACCGTCTGACCCGTCGCCCAAATTAGCATGGTACTCGTGGTTCTGCTCGGCAAATTCTTCAAGACTAGGCGGTGGTCCATCATAAGATTCGTCATGACCTGTTTTATTAATCGGCTTATAATTATTATAAAAAGATACTGACGTAGTGATAAGTTGCGTGTATAGTCCATACAATAAAAAATGTCTGAGAAAACAAAACGTGTTGAAAATCTTACCATCTTCCGGAGGACCTTCATAGTAACCATGATGATGGTGTTCCGGTTGTGGCGCATGCGCAACGTTCTTCACGATATTGCGACCCAAAGTTGTAATCGCGTCCCCGGTTTTAGTAATCATTTTGCCCTTGGCCGTGACAAGGTAACCACTTCCTTTGATTATCTGACCTTTCAATGCGATCACACCACCGCTTATCGCTTTCACCGCTTGCATTAACGTGCTAATGATCACCTTTTTGATGTCCCATACGCCGAACGTGTCATGGTTGTACTATCATAGAAAAATTCAATTAACAAGACACGTGTGCAAATTCATCGAAATGCAATTTCATCTGTACTTTATTGAACATTCAAAGATTGTTCGGTACAAGCTGATTACGATAAGGATAACTCTATTTATTCTATTAGATCGCTACTTGTTCTTAACACTTTGATGGTTAAATATTCTTCATTCGAATTTTTAATCAAATTATCTTTTAGTTTTATTAACTAAGACGTTGGGTATGAACAGTAGACTCTTGTTATATTGCCATGGATCGGGACTGTGAGAATGGAAAGTTATTGGAATATGCAATGTAAGAAACATTTCTTCAACATACGATAATATGAATCACGCACAGTGATATGACATAACATGACGCGCGGTGATATAGCAAGCGGTGATGTAACGTGTGGTGGCATAGCAGGTGGTGATATATTACGCGGCAATTTAATTCGCATTTATCATACTCTGCGATATAGCGGATGATGTAGCGCGTGGTAATACGACGCGGCAATATAGCACGTGACGAAATAAAACGAGATACGTACACACCGTTGTAACATAACACTACAGCATGAAACAATATAATTTGGCAGAAACAAGTCTGAATGGGAAATGACTTAATCGACAATATAAAGAGTCTACTGTAACTTAAAATTACAAGATTCAAAAATTTTATAAGGCAGCCATCAAAGTGTTAAATTTAATACTTGTCTTTGTGCTTTTTTGCAATTGTCTAATACTTAATTAACGACTAACAACGCCTACAGAATTTTTTTTTAAATCTTTCTTGCATTGATAATGGTAACGGATAGTTTCATACGTTCAGGACAGTGAAGTAAAATTATGAAAAGTTGCTTTTGAAGATTACCATATAGTTAGACGAATTAATAAAAATATAAGAATTGTAAATAATAAAATTCCACTCTGTCCTGAACGAGTTAAAACTACCATTCGATCGTTCTTACGCAAAACAAAATCCAGATTGCGAAAAGTTCGAATCAATGTCGATAACATATCACGGTCGACCTATTTCGCTTCACATCAATGACTACAGTATAATCAGGATTCCACGATGAAAATTATAAATTACAACAGGGTCGTGTACTCGTGAAGCGAATAATCGTTTCGATAAACACCGAACTAGTTCAGATGTTATAACAAGTTCCATTTTCCATCGTGTTTCATATTTCCGTCACAAACGTAAGAACGGAACAATTTTAGAACGACGTTTTTGAATCTCCATCGTGAAATTCTTGTTTAAACGATTCTGTGCTTCAATAAGGAGCGTGCAAAGAACACGAGAACTAGCTAAGATTTCCCTCCTTAGTTGCAACCTTGACGACCTACATAGTGATTTTCTTTCGTGCAGCTAATACATCGATCTATAGTTTTATGACCCTACTCTGCCTATTATAACGTGTCACTATCATAACCGAGTATGAGTTAGTCAATTTTAAACTCGCGGGTTCATTTCGTTTACCGGATTCAAGTAGAATGTTCTTTAGAAACAACGAATCTTGTGTTTTTACAATCGATCGATCTTACGAAATTATTCTTTCTTACGATTCTTACGAAAGTACTTTTGCGTTATTAAAATATAGGTGAACTGCTTTCGAAAATATTACAAGATATTCCCAAATCAGGTTAATCTTGATTATGAATATTTCAGGTACAATTGCAGCTTGGGATTCAACAATATCCTCCGACGTTTCCCTATTTCAGCATACAAATTCCTACATTATAAATTCGACACTTTTCACAAAGAAATGTCTGAGAAATTTATTTCTAACGAACCCGCAGTTGTTCCTCGAAGCAACGTGAAGCTAATGATCCCCTCAAGAAGTGGTAAGAAAATGTCCACCAGATCTTTCACAATAGAACAACAATTTCATCTAATTAACATAAATCTTCTTCATTCATAATACACCGCAAAATTGTTTCTAATAAAAGCAGAAGTTAAATGCGAAGCACATGCAAATACTCTCTGCCTTTCTTACTCACTGTTCCTTTTGAATGCCTCCTTCAAGCATGTCGACCAAAAACGAAGACACGGTTTCTTATCACTCTCTAGAGGATCACTAGATGAAACGACTGGTTACATAGTTACCGAGTAAGTATGTCCATATCCCGGTTTTTTATGGTCCGATTCCGAGCTCGAGGACGAGCTCGATGAACTCGTACCAGAGAACGAGGATGATCCTTTCGACGCGCCGCTGGACGCGCTGACCAAACCGCCGATTATGCCGTTTGCTATACCGCTGATCAAACTGCCGGATCCTTTCAGAATCGCTCCGGAATCGGATCCCTCATCCTGGTGGCCGTATCCTCCGTAATGGTATCCATCCGGAAGTCCGTGATCGTATCCTTCCGGTCCCGTAGCGTCGCGTTTGGATCCCGACCTCTTGATCCTCTCCTGCATCATCTCCATGTATTTCGGATCGCCGAGCAGCTCGATCGTGTCTCGATCAGCACCGACTTTCTTCGCGATATCGATCTGCAGATCCTCGGGCAGCAGTTTGTAAATTTCGAAGGCTGTTCGTTGCTCCTTCAATATTCTGTTGGCCTGGTCCTTGGAGGCGTTGTCGAGCATTTGCCATTGTTCGTTTGTTGTCCCTTGATCCGTGAAGGTCCTGCGATACGGCGCCAGACGTTCGAGCTGAGCGGATGCTCGCGATAGTAGATCCTCTTTGTTGGGTTCTGGACTCTCCGACAGGACCACGATGGCCGAACAACAGCAGAGTGCGACCAGTGGCAGGATCTGGAATATATGTGGACTTAGTATGAAGAATTGGAACTTGATTTCATAATTTTGGACTTGATTGTTTGAGATTCTTGAGGAAGGGATGTGGGAGATTTGGGGAATTTGATTGTTTGGGATATAGAAAGTGATGATTCGGGAGTTTGGGAATTTGTGAATATGGGGATTTGGAGATTTGGAAATTTCATGACTTGGAAATCTGAGAATTTGAGAGTAGGGAATTTGGCAACTGGAGAATTTGAGAACTAGGGAATTTGGAAAGTAGAGAATTAGGGGACTAGAGAATTTGGGAACTGGAAAATTTGGAAACTAGAGAATTTGACAACTATAGAATTTGGAACCTGGAGAATTTGGAAGCTAGAGAATTTGGAAACTAGGGAATTTGGAAACTGGAGAATTTGGAAACTAGAGAATTTGGCAACTAGAGAATTTGGAAACTGGAGAATTTGGAAACTAGAGAATTTGGAAACTAGAGAATTTGGCAACTAGAGAATTTGGAAACTGGAGAATTTGGAAGCTAGAAAATTTGGAAACTAGAGAATTTGACAACTATAGAATTTTGAACCTGGAGAATTTGGAAGCTAGAGAATTTGGAAACTAGGGAATTTGGCAACTAGAGAATTTGGAAACTGGAGAATTTGGAAACTAGAGAATTTGGAAACTAGAGAATTTGGCAACTAGAGAATTTGGAAACTGGAGAATTTGGAAGCTAGAAAATTTGGAAACTAGAGAATTTGGCAATTAGAGAATTTGGAAACTAGAAAATTTGGCAACTAGAAAATTTGGAAAGTAGAGAATTTGGAAACTTAAAAATTTGGAAACTGGACAATTTGGAAACTAGAGAATTTGGAAACTGGAAAATTTGGAAACTAGAGAATTTGACAACTATAGAATTTTGAACCTGGAGAATTTGGAAGCTAGAGAATTTGGAAACTAGGGAATTTGGCAACTAGAGAATTTGAAAAGTAGAGAATTTGAAAACTAGAAAATTTGGAAACTAGAGAATTTGGAAACTAAAGAATTTGGAAACTAGAGAATTTGGAAACTAGAAAACTTGGAAAGTAGAGGATTTGGCAACTAGAGAATTTGGCAACTAGAGAATTTAGAAACTAGAAAATTTGGAAACTAGAGAATTTGGAAACTAAAGAATTTGGCAACTAGAGAGTTTGGAACCTAGGGAATTTTGGAACAAACGTGTTTAACGAAATCTGATAATTGACAGTGAACGTTCGGTAACAATGCTAGTAATAAAATATTATAACAAGACCGCAAATTTATAAATCGTTGAAGCGTGCATCATAAGAACGAGAATGCAGCAAGTGGAGCGGTTCTTGGTGAAAGTCATAGAACATGTTGCTTAGGGTTTTACTTTATAAGATGTGTGTAGCAGCGACAAACATCGATCTTGACAGATTATTGGTTTCACATTGCTGCATGGATAGAAAAGAAAACAAGACGTAGAATGGCAGGCAAACAGATCAAAAAGCAAACTAATATCGAAAGTTCATACGTATTCTTGTATAACTACATAGTGATGGAAAGTGCCTCGCAGGTAGTTTCGAACTTTCATTGAATTTGAATTTATAATTTTCGAATTATTAGTATTTCCAGGTAGTCTCGTATCAGGTTCTGATGAGTAACATATTAGAAATTTTAAATTTTTCATATCTTTTACTATCTTTACCATCAGTTATAATACTCTTTATTAATTTATCAAATAATAAGAAATTAAAATTGTGAGAATATACGTAATTTTCATGACGTATGAACCCAAGATTTGCTACAGATAAGTAAACATTAAACTTGATTTCAATTTGCTAAACAAGTAAATAAGTTTTAAATAAAATAAGTAGGTCAACTTTTAGGACGCAATTGTGTTAAACGCTAAAAGTCTATGGATGTATAGCTTCAATAGAAAGTTAGGTTGGGAGTCTGCGAATATTCACGGTTGGACGAAAGTGATCAAAGCGTCCTTGCTCTTGGACTTGACAGTGTCAACGCATGACCCAGTTTACTATACTTATTCATACTCGTGAACTCAATACGATTTCTAAAAAGCGGCAACGAACTAACATATCACTGTATATATTTCTATTACCACGACTCATGAAGAATGTACGATCCTTTCATCGTTTCCGACTGCCGTATATTTGTCACGGTTTCGACATAGGTAATCGTTTCACGAAACGTGAATCCCTTTTGATCTCTAAAATCTTCTCTAAATTTTATGAACAAATTCTTTAAACTTTAAAGGCAAGTCACTCGTATAATAAATTTTTTCCAAAATCATAGAGTCTCAAAGTTTCTGAGTTGTAATGATTCAAACACTAAAAATGTTAAAATTATAAATTTAGAAACTTCAAAGTTCTGAAATCATTCTGAAGTGTTAAAATTCAATGAAACCTTGATCTTTAATAGGACCGATGCAGAATTAATTAATGAATCAGGGTTGAAAGAATAAGTGGATTAATGTTTTAGGTGTTCTGCTTTGAAACATTCTCTGGAATTTATTGAATTAACAGTTTATGTGAGTTGATTCTACTTTCACGGAAACCTTGTCTTTTTGCCCGGTTCGGGTCTTACATATTTGAGCAAAGTATGCACTATTTGAATTACTTTTACTATCTACATTCGACTGTTGGAACGAAAATCCCAAGTTTCCGAATCCTAGTTTACCAAGTCCCGAATCTCTCAAATCCCAAATCACCCGAATCCCAAATCTCTCGAATCTCAAATCACACGAATTCCAAATCACCCGAATTCCAAATCTGTCGAATCCCAAATCTCCCGAATCCCAAATTTCTCGAATACCAAATCTCCCGAATACCAAATTTCCCAAATACCAAATCTCTCGAATTCCAAATCCCCCGAATCCCAAATTTCCCGAATACCAAATCTCCCGAATCCCAAATTTCCCGAATCCCAAATTTCCCAAATACGAAATCTCCCGAATTCCAAATCCCCCGAATCCCAAATTTCTCGAATCCCAAATCTCCCGAATCCCAAATTTCTCGAATACCAAATCTCCCGAATCCCAAATTTCCCGAATTCCAAATCACCCAAATTCCAAATCCCCCGAATTCCAAATCACCCGAATTCCAAATCTCTCTAATCCCAAATCTTCCAAATACCAAATCTCCCAAATCCCAAATCTCTCAAATCCCAAATCTCCCAAAGCCCAAATCTCCCAAATCCCAAATCTCCCAAATCCCAAATCTTCCAAATCCCAACTCTCCCGAATCCCAAATCTCCCAAATCCCAAATCTCCCAAATCCCAAATCTCTCAAACTCCAAATCTCCCAAATCCCACTTTCCGAATCTCCCCATTTCCCAAATCCCAATTTGCCTATTACCCTCAACACTAATACAACAAAAACCCCAGTCACAAACATTATCCTCCCTTCTTAACAATGATCATATTAAACACCAGAAATAGAGAAGTATTAATTTCAAACAAGACCTCACATTATCAGTAATCATCTGTATTCACACTTTTGTTCCGAACAGAGACAAAGGTCTCATTTTCCCCATTGTGGAAAAATGTGTTCACGTGAGACTGTAGACGATCGTATTTTACTTTCACGTGTATGTTAACCACAATGAACGCACTTTCGATCATGGCACATTAAACGGAACCACAAGATGAATATTGTAGATCTTCTATTTCGCTTGTCATGTCGTAAAATTATGGATCCTATTAAACTATAACGTCTTCGAACGACGATTTTCAGTTGAACGAATCAGAAATAAACAGTTTGTTAGAAGAAAAGATAATTCGATAAATTCGCACTTCACACGTGGATGGGAAAGGATATTCGTATATACACAATGATGTGACCAAGTACCTTCATGGTTGACTTTCACGGTAGATCGGTAAAAGGATCACGGCACTCTCACTGAACTCACTGGCCATCACCATCGAGTATTTCCTCTCTTTATACCGACTCCCACCTTCTTAGCTTTACCGGGAGAACGTTGCTCACTTGCTGATTATTTTTTCCTCAAATTTCGGATCTGATTCTTGTCATTCAACGAGAGAACGATGCCTTTAATAGTCATCGATAACGTTCGGTGAAACTTATAAATCGTTTGGATCTAGGAGAAAGCTGTGCTGAATTTACCTTCACTTTTCTTAAATCGTACGAAAGTTTACTTGCTACATTTCTGTAATTTCGTCATTTTTTATGCATTCGTTTTCGGACCAGAAATTATACCGATACAACGGTCAGAAGTTTTATCGAAAAATTAAATATCTTGCTTTTTGAACGACTTGCGTAAATATTTTACTTATCAATCTCTGTTCGTTTTCCGGTCTGGCGTTCTCGAATTCGTACTTGGAAAATTGCCAACCATATCGTTGACTCACTTTCCTCGGTCACATTTTTAAAACGCAGACGAGCGAAACGTGACTGAAATTCATCGTGTGTACAGTCGCGTGCAATTTAGGCATTTCTTAAGTGAGATTATGTTCCCAAGTTTTTATTGATAAAGGAAGAATTAAGGATACACAAGGGTACATCATATTTCCTCTATGTCAAAAGTTGAAAGTAAAATGCTGTTCCTAGAATCTCTCTAGTATCAATAGAAACTTTCTTTGTATTCCTAGAACCATGGAATATTTCTTGGATCTTCTTTGAATTTATTTAATGTAGAATATCGAAGATCTCACGAAGAACTCCTGAAGGGTCTCAAGATACCAAAAGGATCTCGAAATTTGTCTAAAATTTAAAGATGGAATTTCTTTAGTGTCCCTTTAAGTTTAGAATCTCCCCAATCCCAAATCTCACGAATCCCAATCTCACGAATCCCAAATCTCCCAAATTCCAATCTCCCAAGTCACAAATCTACAAAATCCCAAATTTCCCAAATGACAAATCACCCAAATTCCAAATCTCCCAAATTCCAAATTTCCCAAATTCCAAATC